TTTGGCTTCATCCTCCGACGAGGTCACCGACATCCACTAGAGGCCTTCTTTCAATAGGCGAAGGCCAACTACGCTTTTACAGCTTTTCTCATTTTGACAGGCTTAGGAGATCAAATAAGAGTCAATGAGAGATTATTGGATAGAGATCCACTAATCTAAGAGGCTTTGGTAGTTTGATAAAGATCCAATACCCAATAGGACCAGGATCTATTAGGGGACCTCTATAAATAGGAGGGAACCAAAGGCCCATAGGTTAGAGGTTTTCTTGGTTGTCTCCTCCTATTCTCTTCTCCCCTTCTCCTCCTTAGATAGCAAATGTGGAGTTTTGGAAAGCGATTTGAGGAGCGTCATCGCAGCCTTGCTATGTGGATTACCGCTAGAGAGGAGGATGCTTGATCTCTTTTATCCTCTTCTACAGATTTGTAAGGATTCAGAGATATACGATCTCCCTAGGTAAAATACAACTATTTCACACGTGGATTTAAGTTTTGCGGGTTTTTGTGCACCAATCTTCGTACGATAATGAGCACCTTTTAGGAAATTTAGAGTTTTTATTTTTTGTTCCTCCGCTATGCATATGATGTTACTCTTAGATTTCTCTACAGTGGGATCAAAGCCAGGTTGTTTGTGCGAAAGATGTTAGGAATGAGTCGGCATTAAGAGGGGGGGGAGTGAATTAGTGTAATGGATAAAAACGTCGGTTTTGTAAAATCTTCGTTCGTCGAAAATTGATCTCAGAAAGTGTTTAACTTTAAAGCGTTTACAAAAATGTAATGAGCAAATAAAGTAAGTAAATTAGTTTGCAATATGAGAATTAAAAGCAGAACAAGAATGTAAACCAATTTATAGTGGTTCGGTCATCTTGACCTATATCCACTCCACCGATTCTTCTTCTGTCGAGGCCACTAGCATCTACTAATGATCTTCTTTCAATGGGTGAAGATCAACTACCCTTTTACACCCCTCTTCTCCTTTTTATAGGTTTAGGAGTCAACCTTTACAGGCACACGCTCCTCCCTAAATAGAATTCTAAACTTAGTACTAGAGGAGGAGATTTCTCAAGTGATTACTACAGTGTTTTCTCACTTTTAAATACTTTGTGCTTGTGTGTTTTAACTAGGGATGAGAGGGGTATTTATAGGCCTCAAGTTGATTCAAACTTGGAGCCTAAAAATGTCTCATCCCGGGTTTTCAGGATATGGGTGGTACCACCGCCTAGTTTGGCGGTACCACCGCTTGACACCCTACCACTGGGCGGTACCACCACTTGACAGTCTCTCGGAGATTGTGTCTGGGCAGTACCACCACCCAAACTGGTGGTACCACCGCCTGACATAGTCTCAAAGACTATGCCACGACGGTGCCACCTATTGGGTCATTGTTTGGGCCTTTCACTTAGCCCAATTCAGTCCATACATGAGCCCAACTGGCCCCTAATTGGGTTGGCCCAATTTCAATCTTAATTATATATTAACTATAAAATTTAAGACATTTACTAAGCTAAACAAGTCCGTAAGTCTAGGTTTCT